TTCCCTCGATATCAGATTAGGCCTTCGCACAGAGGGAGTGAAGGACAGATTCATTAGGCGTTCTTAGTTGCAGTTACTATCCAACCCCCTTCATTCTGTCAGGCAGGAAAAGAATAATAATAATAATAATAATAATAATAATGAGAAACCTTTATTTATACCCTGCTACCATCTCCCGGCTTACAAGAGGCCGAGCCCAAATACAGCAATAAAAACAACACAGCAATAAAGACAATAAATAAACTCATAAACAAAGCAATAAACAATAACAGTAACACCACGACACATTAAAAATCTATGGCAGGGCCAAATGTAATAATTAAAATTTTAAAATACTGGGCATGACAAGGTGACATATATCTAGGATGGGTATTTGGAGAGAAATGGAGCGAGCAGACAATCCTAGATCATTAGTAAAGTGCGATTAGGGATATGTTGCTTAGGGTTCCTAAGCACTCCTGACAGATGGCCCTCCCACCTCTGTTTAAAAGCCTCAATCAGACACTGTAGTGAATTCCACAGTTGAACAGCTCATCTTACAGTGGCATGTGCTTCCTTAGTGTTCATCTTTGGAGGTGTTTAAGCAGAGGCTGGATGGCCACCTGTCAGGGGTGTCTTGACTGTGCTTTTCCTACCTGGCATAAGGAAGAGGGGTTGGGCTGGATGGCCCCTGGGGTATCGTCCAATTTTAGGATTCACTTGGCAACCTGAACTCCATGCAGGATTTTAGCCTCTGTTTCCCTTAGTGTCGCACTTGAGCCGTGGGACACCTTTACACCCAGCGCCACACAGTCCAGTAGTAACTAATTGCAGCAATTAATTTACAAAAATATGTACAAAAGGGGGAAAGGGAATTTCTCAAAAAGTGCTATGAAATAGCAATAGTCCTGATATACCAAGATCAATAGTCCAAAATAGCAAGGTACACGAAATCCAGGAAGTCAAGAACATAGGCATAAATCCATAAGCATGAAAACGGGTACTTTTCCCAGGCAAAACTTTATCAGGAATATAGGCAAACACATGAGACTTGAATCATGAACTTGAGAGCTGAAACAGGAACTTGATTCTATGGCAACGTTGTCTGCTCTGGAGACAACAGGTAAACATCACTTAATTTAAGCTCAGGCTTCACCAAGAAGTCATGCTCTTGAGACCTGAGATTCTAGAACTTCTCACAGAGTCTTTCTGAACGCCTAATTAATCTATCCTTCACTCCCTCCGCGTGGAGGCCTAATCTGATATTGAGGGAAAACTCCCCATCTGCAACTAAGAATGCCTAATTCAGTGTTTCTCAACCTTCCTAATGCCGCGACCCCTCAATACATTTCCTCATGTCGTGGTGATCCCCAACCATAACATTCTTTTGCTAATTCATAACTTACTTCTAAATTACTTTTTCTCCTGTTATGAAACATAATTTGGGATTTGTAGTTGTTGGGATTTATGGTTCACCTACAATCAAAGAGTATTCTGAACTCCACCAAGGATGGAATTGAACCAAACTTGGCACACAGAATGCCCACGACCAACAGAAAACATTGGAAGGGTTTGGTGGGCATTGACCTTGAGTTTGGGAGTTGTAGTTCACCTACAAAGAGCACTATGGACTCAAACAATGATGGATCTGGACCAAATATGGCATGAATAGTCAGTATGCTAAATGTGAACACTGGTGGAGTTTGGGGAAAATAGGCCTTGACATTTGGGGGTTGTAGTTGCTGGGATTTATAGTTTACCTACAATCAAAAAGCATTCTGAACCCCACCAATGATAGAATTGGGTCAAACTTCCCACACAGAACCCCCATGATCAACAGAAAATATTGTGTTTTCAGATGGTCTTTGGTGACCCCTCTGGCACCCCCTGGTGACCCCTCCAGGGGTCCCGACCCCCAGGTTGAGAAACACTGGCCTAATTGATCTATCCTTCACTCCCTCCATGTGGAGGCCTAATCTGATATTGAGGGAAAACTCCCCACCTGCAACTAAGAATGCCTAATTGATCTATCCTTCACTCCCTCTGTGTGAAGGCCTAATCTGATATTGAGGGAAAACTCCCCATCTGCAATTGCTGCCACCTCTCTCTGATCTAAGGCCTGATCACACGCAGACTCCTCAGTGGGAAACCCATAATCCCCCGTCCTCTGAAGAATCCCCAGCATCTTGCTGCTGAACCCCAACACTCAGATGGATTGCTCCCCTCTTTTCCCCCGCTATCGTTGATTCCTAAGCCTGACAATATCTGGAGAATACTGATCTTGGTTCCAAACCACGGATCTCTCCTTGTTCTCCTGGCATATCAAGTGAAGAGGCGAGACATAAACAGGAGGGGAGGAGGGTGAGGTCTAGGGCACGGTCTTCTCCTCCAACCCAGCCCTTGAGGAAGGCGGTGTCGCTCGAGGCAGGCCTACGGGGCTGGCTCTTGCCAGAGGTTTCTGGCATGCTTCCTGCCATCTGCTTGGAATGCTTGAGGGAGTTTTCCTCTTCTTCCTGTCCAGGAGCAGCCCGGGTCCCTCCGCACACCGCCCTGCTCCTGTTCCTTGCCTCTTGGGTCACCTCGGTGGCCTTCAGCCTCCCAAGGCCTGGCCTCTTTCCATTGTTGTTGGTGCCCTTTCGCAGAAGGGACAGACCCCCGCCACACCCCCAGGTCCCCAAAGCGAGAGAGAGAAAGAGAGAGAGAAAGGAGCCCTGGCTTCTCAAGCAGTGGCAGTAGACTTTTGCAAAAACAGAGCACGCGCAGAGACACGGGGCCGTTTCTGCTGCTGTGACATGACTTGATAACAAGTCAGAAATTACGCAAAGCATAGCTGAAAGCAAAAGAAGGGATGGAGATGTATGTGTGCGTCAGCTCAAGGCGTTCCCGCCCGAGATGATGGGTCTCGGTTCCTGTGTTTTGGGGAAAGCGATCTGCTTATCGGGCTTCATCCGCAGGACTGTGGCTTGACAGTATTTTGGACCAGTGCCATCAGCAACGAATTTGAGGACAGGGCTGTCGCAAGGAGAGATCAAGCAACCCAATTTGGGAGAGGGCAGGGTCAGAGAGTATCTATGAAATTTATTTATTTTTATTTATTATTAGTAACAAACATAGGAATATGGAACGATCGGATGATGAGATTGGATCCTGATTTTAACTAAGAGACGCTAATGAGTTACGTTTTATTGACTTTGTAATGATCGTATATTTATGCCATTGTTTTTAATTGTTTTAAATGTTTTGTGATGTTTTTGAGCATTGAATTTTGCTACTGTAAACCGCTTGGAGTCGCCCGTGGGCTGAGAAAAGCAATATATAAATATAGTAAGTAAGTAAATAAATATTATTTACAACATTTTTATGCCACCCATTACAGCCCGAAGGCAACTCAGGGCGGTGTACAGACACATCATAAATACATATAAAAACCAAAGAAGCAATAAAAACAATAAGAACAATAAGAATCTATAAAAACAATGTCTTCCAGTTCAAGTTCAATTCCTCATCCGTTTACGTCGTCTTAGCCGTTCTGTGTTCATATTCCAACTTGAGTTTTTCTGGTCATGCTGAAGTTCCAAACGATTGCTCAAAAAGCCAAGTTTTCACTCTTTTCTGAATAGGGAGGGGGCCGATCTAATATCCCTGGGCAGGGAGTTCCACAGCCGAGGGGGCACCACAGAGAAGGCCCTGTCCCTCATCCCTGCCAGACACACCTATGAGGCAGGTGGGATCGAGAACAGGGCCTCCTGAGACGATCTCAACTTCCTAGAAGGTTCATAATGAGAGATGCGTTCGGATAGATAAGCTGGGCCGAAACCTCCCTGGTGGGGTAAGGTAATAATAATAAAATAATAAAACTTTATTTATACCCCGCTACCATCTCCCCAAGGGACTCGGTGCAGCTTACATGAGGCCGTGCCCAAAGTACATCAACAGTAAAAGCAATAAGAAAACAATCAATACAACAGATAAATCTCATAAACAAAAGTAAACAATACAGTAACAATATCAACAAGCATTAAAAACCTATGGCTGGGCCAAATGCAATAATTTAAAATTTAAAAAATAATGCTGGACATGGACAAGGTAGGATATAACTGGGATAGAGTTTTCAGGTAGAGGTAGGGCGCGCAGACAATCCTAAATCAGTGATAAAGTGCATTTAGGGACATATTGCTGAGGGTATTTCCTTACTCTGAGAAGGCACACTGGAACAACCATGTTTTCAGGCTCCTAAAGACTGCCAGAGTTGAGGCATGTCTGATGTCCCTGGGAAGCGAGTTCTAGAATCGGGGGGCCATCACCGAGAAGGCCCTCTCCCTCGTCCCCACCAATCGTGCCTGCGATCTAGGTGGGAGCGTGAGCAGGGCCTCTCCAGATGATCAAAGAGATCGTGTGGGTTCGTACATGCAGGTAGGCTGGTGGGAATTGTAGTCTAGGGGCGCCAGGATGGGAGAGGCTGCAGTATTGTGCCTGTGTTTCTCCCATACGAAGGCCGCAAAGAGCCTGTGTGTCTGTGGCAGACGGAAGGACCCAGTAGAATAAAATCACTAAGCTTATGGCTATTGCAACTCTGACGTAACACAGCCCTTTGGCCTCCAAACCTCCCTCCCCCTGTTTTCCCTCAATATCAGATTAGGCCTTCACACAGAGGGAGTGAAGGATAGATTAATTAGGTGCTCTTAGTTGCAGATGGGGAGTTTTCCCTCAATATCAGATTAGGCCTCCACACGGAGGGAGTGAAGGATAGATCAATTAGGCATTCTTAGTTGCAGATGGGGAGTTTTCCCTCAATATCAGATTAGGCCTCCACACAGAGGGAGTGAAGGATAGATTAATTAGGCGTTCAGAAAGACTGGAAATGCAATTCCGATGGACTGTAATGCAATGCCTTCTGACATTTCAAACCATTCTATGTTTCTACAATTCATTCAAACCATTCTACGTTTCTACAATTTCCAATTCAGATCGGAAGTAGGAAGAGAAGAGTTCTGAACCGAGTTCTGAATCAAGGGGCCTACCTGCATTCCTCAAGAAACGGTGCTTGTAGTCGTTTACGACTCTCGTTTTGGGGTTGTAGAAGCCGTCGCCACAGTCGTAGCAGCCCGGGGGGATGACCCGAGGAGGGTCCAGGTTGGTCAGCTGGGAAATGCCTAGCGAACGAACGAGAGCAGGCGGAAATCAACATTGTGAAGGGATGGCCCCGGGAATAAATATACCCAAGCCTCAGAAGAAGGACCACCGACATCTGCTACGAAACCCCCCAGTGTCGTGTTTGTTGTGAGCCACTCTGAGTCCCTATGCATGCCAGGAGGAAAATAAAACATCAATACTCCTGTGGCCCCTTCTACACTGCCATATGATTCAGATCCAAAGCAGATAATCCACATGATGTGCTTTGAACTGGATTATGGTCTACACTGCCATATAATAATAATAATAATAATAATAATAATAATAATAATAACTTTATTTATACCCCGCCACCATCTCCCCAAGGGACTCAGAGCGGCTTACATGAGGCCAAACCCAACATCACATCAATAAAAAAGCAATAAACAAAAACAATATTATAATATTATAATTATAATGTAATGTATTATTAACGAAGATCCCTTCGTTCTGAGGACGAAGATCTATTGGAAATTCCCAGTGTCAAGACCTTGCGTCTAACAGCAACCAGATGCAGAGCCTTTACAGCAGTGGCACCATCGCTCTGGAATACTCTGCCACCCGAAGTCCGTGCCTTGCAGGACTTATCAGCTTTCCGCAGGGCATGTAAGACATACCTGTTTCGACAGACCTTTGATCTCTGATATTGCTGTTTTTAAATTGTTTTAAATTGTTTTTAAATTGTGTTAGATTTTAGCCATTCTTGTAAGCCGCTCCGAGCCCCAGGGGAATGGCGGCATATGAGTTCAAATAATAAATAAATAAATAAATAAATAATACATTTTATATACATATAATATTTATAATATTATAATGTAATACAATATAATAATACTATTACTAATAATAATAATAATAATTTTTATTATTATATATTTTATATTACATGTAATATTACTAATAATATTACAATATAATGGTATAGTACAATATAGTAATATATAATACTGATATTGTACTATGCTAATAATATATTGTATGTATATATATCTTTTAAGCTGCTCCGAGTCCCCTTCGGGATGAGAAGGGCGGCATAGAAATGTCGTAAATAAATACATAAATAAAAAATATATAATCCAGTTCAAAGCAGATAATCTGGATTTTATATGGCAGTGTAGACGGGGCCTATATCTATGTAAAGAGAGAACCGTGAATCCCACCAGCAGTAGATTTAGACCAACTTAAAATACTGGAGAGACTAAGGGGGATTGATCTAGGATGATGGGAGTTGTAGTTCACCCACATCCCAGGAGCACTGTGAAGCTCACCGATGATGGATCTGGACCAAACTTGGCATGCATACCTATCATGACCAACTTTAAACAATGCCAGGGCTTGAGAGAGCTTGACCCAGGATGATGGGAGCTGTAGTCCATGTACAGAGCGCTTAATTGATGATGGATCTGGACCAACCTCGGCATGCATACCCACTGTGACCAACTTTAAACACTGGCAGGGTTTGAGAGGGCTTGACCCAGGATGATGGGAGCTGTAGTCCACGTACAGAAAGCTCAATTGATCATGGATCTGGACCAACCTTGGCATGCATACCCATTGTGACCAACTTTAAACAATGCCAGGGCTTGAGAGGGTTTGACCCAGGATAATGGGAACTATAGTCCATGTACAGAGAGCTTAATTGATCATGGATCTGGACCAACCTTGGCATGCATACCCATTGTGACCAACTTTAAACACTGGCAGGGTTTGAGAGGGCTTGACCCAGGATGATGGGAGCTGTAGTCCATGTACAGGGAGCTTAATTGATAATGAATCTGGACCAAACTTGGCACACAGGTCCATCATGGGCTTGCAAGAAGATCATGGGTGGCTGTAAAGATCCCTTACTTTACCAGCCTGGATGGCAGGGCCTAGGAGAAGCAGGCCAGTTAGTTGCAGCTTTAGAAGGCCTGGCAGAGGGCAGCAGGAGCCATTTTAGTTTAGGGAAAGCACCATTTCAGAGAGGGGGAGTGGCCTAGGCCTGAGTCAGCCTTAGAACAGCCAGGATTGGTTTATTAAAGGGGGGCGGAGTTTAGACTGTTTGGAGGGAAAGAAGAGGGCTTTTTCAGTCAGTCTGTTGTTGTTAGAGTTTAGAGTAGGAAGGTGGTTTTAGGAGTTCGTGTTTTTAAGATCAGTTAAGAGTAGGCAGTTTGCCTTAGGTTTGCCAGCAAGAGAAGCTGTAGCAAACTGGAATAGCTATTTAGGAGAAATAGCTGGTGTGTAGTTAGCTAGGCCACAGTTGAGGGTAGCTAAGCTACAGTTGTATCTTGGCAGAGATTCAGATCCTGTCAAGTGTACTTGGTTTTGTTTTAAAGAAGAAACTCTCTGTATTAGTAACAAAGGAAGAACCATTTACAAGTAACCATTACGCTTTAAAGACAAGAACATTTTCTCTGTAACAGCCAAGCTTTTAAACAGCATTCACTTCCTCTGTATTTTCATCAATAAACTTTTCTTGATTATTTTTAAACTTAAAAAGCCTGAGTCAAGTGTGCCTTTTGTGGCTATAGTCCCTGTTTCAATCAACCTCAAGTGTTTTCCCTTAAAGAAGAAATAAGAAGACACAGTGTTTGGGGATCTTTAAAAACCCTTTTATTATTTTGAATAGCTAGAGTGTTCCTGTACATTTGTTATGGTGGCAGCGGAAGTTTAATTAGTGAGACATCCCCTCAATCATTTATATTGGTGCCAGGGAATTCTTAATATTGGAAGGACAGTTGGTGGGATTTGCTTTACCCCTGTGCAGAGATATTGTTTGCCATACTCGTGCCTTTATAGTGGCCTTATCAAAGGCCTTATGAAATCAACATACTGCATCTTGATTTCAATAGGGTTGGATAACCATCTTTTGGGAGCGCTTTAGGGTTCATTTAATCTATCTATCTATCTATTTATCTAACCAAGGCAGTACCTGCTGGCTTCAAGCCTGAACAGATTTCGGTGTAAAACCTTCTGTCGTAGCCGTCGCAATAATGCCACTTCTGCTCTTGATACTCCAGCCCATCCGCAAAGGTGTATTTCCCCTGCAAAAAGCAGGTTCAAGGTCAAGAGGGTAAGACGAGCATCGCTGGACCAGACAACACATGTCCTGCTTTCTAACCAAAACACACAGGGAAGTCCACAGCGCAGGACGTGAGGGCAGCAGCACTCCGATTCCCATTTTAAAGTGACTCTCTTTCCCCCAAGGTTGCCAAGGCCATTCCTGCCATCTACTGATATCAACAAATGTCAGGAATTCGATGGAGCGTGAAAGTTATAATCAACGTAAGCATATTGCAGGAAATCGGAATAACTGGACAATGGGACTGGACAATGTTTTTTAACGAGGATTTGTTGACTTATGTTTTATGGCTGTATTATGATTTTATTGATGTTAATGTTTTTTCAATTGTACTTGTGTTTTTGTGGCATTGAATTTTGCCTTGTAAACCGCTGAGAGGGGCGGTATACAGATATAGTAAGTAAATAAATAAATAAATGAGTCAATGGGACTATTGGGAAAAAAGACCAAAAAAAATCAGATGAGAATAAAAAAAAAATCTCCATTAAAAAAGGGATTCCATCTGACCGTAGGAAAAATGGCATGATTGTTCAACAGTGGAACTCTCTGTCTCAGAGTTCAGTGGAAACTTGTTTTCCAAATGCTTTTAAATGGAGGCTGTATGGCAGCCATGGGACAAATTTGTCCATTTCTCCTGGTGCTTTGGACTTCAACTCCCACCATTCCTAACAGCCTCAGTCCCCTTCCTTTCCCTTTTCCCTTTTCCGCTTAAGCGGCCGAGGGGGAAAAGGAAGGGGCCTGAGGCTGTTAGGAATTGTGGGAGTTGAAGTCCAAAACACCTGGAGGGCCAGAGTTTGCCCATTATATTATTTTGAATTGTTTAATTTATTTTGTATTTTATCCATTTTGTTCTGATGTAATTTTTTCTGTTGTTTTGTATTTTATTTTACTGTATTGTATTTTTGGGCTTGGCCTCATGTGAGCCACCCTGAGTCCCCTTCTGGGAGATGGTGGCAGGGTATTATTATTATGATTATTATTATTAATAATAATAATAATAATTTTACTGACACAAAAATACAGTGTGTCACAGCAAATGAAATCTATTATTATTATTATTATTATTATTATTATTATTATTATTATTATTTTACTGACACAAAAGTACAGTATGTCACAGCAAACGAGATCTATATGCTGGATTTCGTATCACAAAATCACATTTCCCAAGCATATTATTATTATTATTATTTTACTGACACAAAAGCACAATATGTCACAGCAAACGAGATCTATATGCTGGATTTCGTATCACAAAATCACAAGTTGAACACTTTCCAAGCGTAATATTATTATTATTATTATTATTATTGTTATGGCCATCTGTTGGGAGTGCTTTGAATGTGCCCTATATACACACACACATCATCTTTACTGCATAAATGAGGTTTGGATTTTTTTTCCCTTTACACTTCCTACGTACTACAGTTTCTTGTGTTGTTTCCTCAGTGGCCGCTCCCTGTGTTTCATCACAAACCTCACTGTCAACAGATTCTCTATTCTTAATTAGCAATGTATCCATGTTAGTGGTAATTACTGCAACACAATCAACCAATTGTGCAGATCATAAATGTTATAACAGTACCTCCACTTGAACAGCACCCGCAACACACTTCCATAGTGATTAAACTGCTCTGGCAGTTTTTAAACGGAGGCTGGATGGCCACCCAGGGGTGCTTTGATTGTGCATTTCTACCAGGCTGAAGGGGGTTGGACTAGCTGCCCTTTGAGGGTCTCTTCCAACTCTAGACTGCCTGGGAGTCCAGTGGAGTCTCCTTCTATAAAAGTTTTTGAACTGAGGCCAGATGTCCATCTATCAAGAAGACTTGGATTGTGTACTCCTGCCCTGGAAGAAGGGGGCTGGACTGGATGGCCCTTGGGGGTCTCTTCCAGCCACAGGTTAAGGACAGCAGCAGAAACTACTCAGGAAACAAGTTCCCTTAAGGCAGTGTTTCTCAACCTGGGGGTCGGGACCCCTGAGGGGGTCGCGAGGGGGTTGTCAGAGGGGTCGCCAAAGACAAAGACACAGTATTTTCTATTGGTCATGGGGGTTCTGTGTGGGAAGTTTGCCCCAATTCTATCATGGGTAGGGTTCAGAACGCTCTTTAATTGTAGGTGGACTATACATCCCAGTGACAACTCCCAAATGTCAAGGTCTATTTCCCCAAACTCCACTAGTGTCCACATTTTGGGATATTGAGTATTTGTGTCAAGTTTGATCCAAATCCATCTTTGTTTGAGTCCACACTGCTCTCTGGATGTAGGTGAACTACAACTCCCAAACTCAAGGTCAATGCCCACCTAATCCTTCCAATAATGTATGTTGGTCATGGGAGTTATGTGTGCCAAATTTGGTCCAATTTCATCGTTAGTGGAGTTCAGAATGCTCTTTGATTGTAGATGAACTATAAATCCCAGTAACTACAACTCTCAAATGACAAAATCAATCCTCCACAACCCCACCAGTATTCAAATGTGGGTATATCGAATATTTGTGCCAAATTTGGTCCAGTGAATGAAAATACATCCTGCATATCGAATATTTACAATTCATAACAGTAGCAAAATTATAGTTGTGAAGTAGCAACGAAAATGTTATGGTTGGGGGTCACCACAAAATGAGGAACTGTATTAAGGGGGCAAGGGATATTCAAAGTCTGGCCCGGGGCCAATTGCGGTGCTCAAGACATACCTCTATGGATATTCCTTTATCCCAAGTCCCTTCGTATTTGCTTCCGCTGGGGAAGAACAAAGTCCCGTTGCCATGGAACATCCCGTCTTTCATCTCGCCGACATATTTGGTTTCGGTCGGGAGGGTGTACGTTCCGGTGCCTTCCAACCTGCGGAGAAACAACAAGGACGGTGACAAGAAACGGTTTTAATTCATACCAGCCAAGGATTCAGGCAGCTTAATCTAAACTTGTAACTGAGAGCTTTATTTTTCTGGATGGCTTTATTTTTCTGTCAAGTGGACTTTAATTGCTATTGGGAGGACAATATTTTTTTATAAACAAGCGTATAAACAGATGTCCCGATCCTCAAGCACTCTCTGCTTCATTTGGAAGAATCCTGCACTTGCAGAGCTCAGGAGGTGTTGTATTTTGGGGTTGATTTTGACTTTTGTGGAGAGGTGTTTTCATCGCTGTGGTACTGCACCTTGTTGATGGGAAGCTTCCCACTAGAGTGGAAATCACCTATTGGACAGATGGCAAGCTATTTAACCTCTGCAGACCGAAAGCCAAAACCAAGGTCACACCAATATAATAATAATCATCATCATTTTCATCATCATCATCTTTATTTATATTCTGCTCTATCTCCCCAAGAGAATTCAGAGCGGTTTCCAACTAAGATTAACAAAACAAAATAAGCATAAAAATATATGTGATCGAATTCGAATATGCTGATGATAACGTAGTCTGTACATATTCAGAAGAAGACCTATAGTTGCAATAATGTTATTATTAACATATATTACATATAATATTAAAGATGGGTTGTTGTAGGTTTTTTCGGGCTGTATGGCCATGATCTAGAGGCATTCTCTTCCGACGTTTCGCCTGCATCTATGGCAAGCATCCTCAAAGGTAGTGAGGTCTGTTGGAACTAGGAAAATGGGTTTATATATCTGTGGAATGACCAGGGTGGGACAAAGGACTCTTGTCTGCTAGAGCTAGGTGTAGTGAGGCATGCTTACCATAGATGCAGGCGAAACGTTAGGAGAGAATGCCTCTAGACCATGGACATACAGCCCGAAAAAACCTACAACAACCCAGTGATTCTGGCCATGAAAGCCTTCGACAATACAATAAACGATATAATATACACACAATATATATATAATGTAATTATTAATATTTTATATATATAGTGTGTGTGGGTATATATTATAAATGATATAATATACACACAATATATATATATGATGTAATTATTAATATTATATATGTATAGTGTGTGTGTGTATATATTATAAACGATATAATATACACACACTATATATATATATAATGTAATTATTAATATTATATATATATATAGTGTGTGTGTATATATTATAAACGATATAATATACACACACAATATATATATATATATAATGTAATTATTAATATTATATATATATATAGTGTGTGTATATATTATAAACGATATAATATACACACAATATATATATAATGTAATTATTAATATTTTATATATATAGTGTGTGTGGGTATATATTATAAATGATATAATATACACACAATATATATATATATGATGTAATTATTAATATTATATATGTATAGTGTGTGTGTGTATATATTATAAACGATATAATATACACACAATATATATATATAATGTAATTATTATTATATATATATAGTGTGAGTGTGTATTATAAAAGACATAATATACACACACAATATATATATATATATAATGTAATTTATTATTTATTTATTTATTTAGTACACTTGTATACCGCTAGTATCTCAGCCTAGAGCGGCGACTCACTGCGGTTTACAGCATTTAAAAACAACAATATTCAGATTAAAAATATAAAACACATACATATATAATACACAGTATTGGGCCACCAATACAGACCAATGCATCTCTTAAATGAAAATCATAATCCAATTCGTTGTCGGTAATTGCCTGTCCTTAATCAGAAACATCATCGCGTCGACTTAGCCGAACGCTTGCTCAAACTATATATATATAGTGTGAGTGTGTATTATAAAAGACATAATATACACACTATATATATAACGTAATTATTAATATTATATATACATATATATATATATATATATATATATATAGTGTGAGTGTGTATTATAAATGATATAATATACACACAATATATATATATATATATAATGTAATTATTAATATATATAGTGTGTGTGTATATTATAAACGGTATAATACACACACACAATATATATATATAATGTAATTATTAATATTATATATATAGTGTGAGTGTGTATTATAAAAGACATAATATACACAGAATATATATATATATAATGTAATTATTAATATATATATAGTGTGTGTCTATTATAAATGATATAATATACACTATATATATAATTATTAATATTATATATAGTGTGTGTGTGTATTATAAACGGTATAATATACACACTATATATATATAATGTTATTATTATTATTATTATATATATAATGTGTGTGTGTATTATAAACAATATAATATACACACACAATATATATATAATGTAATTATTAATATAATATATATATATATAGCGTGTGTAGATTATAAACGATATAATATACACACAATATATATATATAATGTAATTTTTATATTATATATAGTGTGTGTGTATATTATAAATGATATAATATACACTATATATATATATATATATATATAATGTAATTATTAATATTATATATAGTGTGTGTGTATTATAAACAGTATAATATACACACAATATATACATATATACATATATATATATATATATATATATAAATAATATATATAGTGTGTGTATTATAAACGATATACCATAATAATAATAACATTCCTCTCGTGACTTTGGCCAAAACAAGGTCTGGTTTCCATGGTAACTGCCTCGCTTCCCTTCCCGCGCGCCTGACCCGTTTCCCTCAGAGGCACGACACGCGAGTTACGCCGTCCACACGTGACGAGCGGCCTTCCCTGCCTGCCTGCCTGCCTGCCCCACGCGGGAGTCCCTCTCTGCCCGCCCGCCCACCTGCCGTTCACGCGCCCGCCGTGGTAGGAGCTGCCCGTGTAATCCATCGTGGTCGCGGCGGGCGAGTAGGCCTCGTCACCATGGCGACAAGCTTCCCGGCGTGAAGGAGGAAGCGGAGCCAATCGGACGGCAGGAAGCAGGGGAGAGGCGGGGCCAAGCCGGTGACGGACAGGGTGAGTGACAGCCTGAGAGTCCGCCCCCTTTGGGATGTCTCTCTCAAGGTGAAGGAGACCGTGCGTGGAGGGCGCATGCGCGGTGCGGCCTAGCTCGGGGCTTGCGGCCTAGTTGTGGAGGGGAGGCCGGCTCGCCCCTCGCGCCGAGATGCCGGCCAAGATCGAGCTGCCCTCGCTGGAGGAGCTCCAAGTGCAGGAGGTGAGTGGCTTCTAGTACTATTCGTGTTGTTATTACTCGCTTTCGACGCATAAAACGCTTATTCTTCCTTCAAAAGGAAGCTCTGGTTCACTCACATAAAGGTGGCCTGTCTGTTGATGCCTGGAGGCACCCTCTACGTGGGAAGGGTCCATTGAAACACTCACACTTGCCAAGACCGAGCTTGAACAGCATTGAGTCGCCCATGAAGTTTGCCAAGTCAATCAGAGAGGGTATCTGCATAGCCTGGCCTCTGTTGCCTGGAGGCACCCTCTGCATGGGAAGGGTCCATTGAAACACTCACACTTGCCAAGAGCGAGCTTGAACAGCATTGCATGAAGTTTGCCAAGTCAATCAGGGAGGGTATCTGCAGAGAGGTAGCCTGGGCTCTGTTGCCTGTAGGCACCCTCTGCATGGGAAGGGCCCACTGAAACACTCACACTTGGCAAGAGCAAGCTTGAACAGCATTGTATGAAGTTTGCCAAGTCAATCAGGGAGGGTATCTGCAGAGAGGTAGCCTGGGCTCTGTTGCCTGGAGGCACCCTCTGTGTGCGTGGGAGGGGTCCATTGAAACACACACTTGCCAAGAGCAAGCTTGAACACCATTGAGTCGCCATGAAGTTTGCCAAGTCAATCAGGGAGGGTGTCTGCATAGCCTAGCCTCTGTTGCCTGGAGGCACCCTCTGTGTGTGTGGGAAGGGTCCACTGAAACACTCACACTTGCCAAGAGCGAGCTCGAACAGCATTGAGTCGCCATGAAGTTTGCCAAGTCAATCAGAGAGGGTATCTGCAGAGAGGTAGCCTGGCCTCTGTTGCCTGGAGGCACCCTCTGCTTGGAAGGTGTTAACTGGCATTGATTGGGTTGCTGTGACTTTTTCCAGGCTGGGTAGCTATGTTCCAGCAGCATTCCCTCCTGATGTTTCGCCCGCATCTGTGGCTAATGGGACAGTCCCATCTTGTTTCTTGTGCTATGCTAATAACACAATATATTGTATATACATATAATATTTAAAATATTATAATGTGATGCAACGTAATACTACTAATAATATGATATTATAATTATATATTTTATATTACATGTAATTTTACTAATATAACAATGGTATAGTACAATATAGTAACATATAATACTGATATTGCACTATGCTAATAATATAATATAGTGTATGTAACGGCGCTCCATGCAGTCATGCCGGCCACATGACCTTGGAGGTGTCTATGGACAACGCCGGCTTTTCGGCTTAGAAATGGAGATGAGCACCACACCTCAGAGTCAGACATGACTGGACTTAATGTCAGGGGACAACCTTTACCTTTACCTATGTATATGTATGTATGTATGTATGTATGTATGTGTATATATATATATATCTTGTAATCCGCTCTGAGTCCCCTTCAGATAAATAAATAAATACAGAATGGTATCTTTAGAGGTTCTGTTGGTGGAGTGTGTATATCTATATGTATCTACCTGTAGAATAATGTCTAGGGAGGGAGAAAGAACCCGTGTCTGTTTGAAGCCATGTGTGAATGTTGCAATTAGCAAGCTTGATTAACATTGAGTAACCTTGCAGCTGCAAAGTTAGTCAGTGAGGGTATTTGCATGGAGGTCTGTTGGAAATGAGGCAAGTGGAGTGTGTATATATATATATACACACATACTAGCAGTCCCCTGTCAGGCGTTGCTGTGGCCCAGTCTGGTGATCTGGAAAATAAAGTAATTAGAAAGTGCTGGTTTCTAATATATGTAATGTCTTGATGCTTGTGGGTAAACAGCATTTCTTGATGTTTCTTTGACAGTGTTAACGTAGAGATTGTCTGGTTTGTCTACTCTGGAACATGCAACATGTAATTGTCCATCTTTAGGAGTCCCTTTCAAATCTATAATACTTTATCTGTGTGTGTGTGAATCATATATATCTATCTATATCTATGGCTTGATGGCTCTCTGTCAGGAGGGCTTTGATTACGTTTTCTTGCCCCGGTGAAGGGAGTTGGACTGGATGGCCTTAAGTATTTTCTGTTGGTCATGGGGGTTCTGTATGGGAAGTTTGCCCCAATTCTGTCATTCGTGGGGTTCATTCAGAATGGGGTTTGATTGTAGGTGAACTATAAATCCCAGTAACTACAACTCTCAAATGCCAAGGCTTGTTTCCCCCAAACTCCATCTGTGTTCATATTTGGGCATATGGAATATTCATGTCAAGTTTGGTCCAGATCCCTCATTGTTTGAGTCCACAGTGCTCTCGGGATGTAGGTGAACTACAACTCCCAAACTCAAGACTAAACGCTGCTAGTATTTTCTGTTGGTCAGGGGAGGCCAAGTTTGGTTCAATTCCATTGTTGGTGGAGTTCAAAATGTTCTTTGATTATAGGTGAACTATAAATCCCAGCCACTACAACTCCCAAATGACAAAATCATAATTTTTTGAGTGATGGTCACTCCTTATGTAGTGAGACGTTTTGTTGCCAAATTTGGTGTGATTTCGTTCATTGGTTCTTTTGTTTTCAAGGAACGCATTATCCACAGAACATTTAGATAGATAGATAGATAGATAGATAGATAGATAGATAGATAGATAGATAGATAGATAGATAGATAGATAGATTATCCACAGAACATTTAGATAGATAGATAGATAGATAGATAGATAGATAGATAGATAGATAGATAGATAGATAGATAGATAGATAGATCGATCTGTGGAATTATGTCCTGGGTGGGAGGAAGAACGCTTGTCTGTTTGAAGCAAGTGTGAATGTTGCATTTGGCCAGCTTGGTTAGCATTGAGTAGCCTTGCAGCTGCAAAGTCAATCAGGGAGGGTGTCTGCATAGAGGTAGCCTGGCTGCTGTTTCCTGGAGGCATCCTCTATTTAGGAGGTGTGTCACTGGCACTTGGTTGTTTGCTGTCTGGAGTTCCCCTGTTTCCAAGTGGAGTTCACTATTTACTGTCTTGATTCTGGTGTTTTTTAATACTGGGAATGCTGGCAGAGCGCTGGCAGATTACAAATCCGAATAAGTCTGTATCCATCTTAAACTGCTCTGTAGTTTGTCTATGAGCGAACCATTGTAATGCGGGCTATTTAATAATAATAATAATAATAATAATAATAATAATAATAATAATAAGTCCCAAGTCCTAGACACTTGGGAAGTGTCCAACTTGTGATCCAATACAACAGGCGGCAGAGTGATCTTGTTTGCTGTGGACTCATCTTGTTGTGTTTCTAATAATAATAATAATAATAATAATAATAATAATAATAATAATAATTAATAAATAATAATAATAATAATTAATAATTAATAATTAATAATAATTAATAGAAACGTGTCTATTTTATGAATGTGTAGGTGAAGGTGAGCTCGGCAGTCTTGAAAGCGGCTGCCCACCATTATGGCTCCCAGTGTGACAAGCCTAACAAGGAGTTCATGCTTTGCCGCTGGGAGGAGAAGGACCCCCGGAAGTGCTTGAAGGAAGGCAAGGAAGTGAACAAGTGCGCCCTGGATTTCTTCAGGTATGTGCCCAAAAAAGAGCCTGTGTTGGGTTTAGGAAGATGGGATTGGGTTAATCTCTTTGGCAGTGGAACCAGTACTTTTATTCTCCTGCAGCGGAGGGAAAACATCTGTCAGGGGTGATTTGATTGTGCTTTTCCTGCATGGCGGGGGGTTGGACTAGATGACCCATGTGGTCTCTTCCAACTCTATTATTATTGTTGTTGTTGTTGTTGTTATTATTATTATTGAGACTGGATGGCCATCTGTCTGGGGTGTTTTGATTGTGTTTTTCCTGCATGGCAGAGGGTTGGACTAGATGGCCCATGTGGTCTCTTCCAACTCTATTACTATTATTATTATTATTATTATTATTATTATTATTGAGACTGGATGGCCATCTGTCTGGTGTGTTTTGATTGTGCTTTTCCAGCATGGCAGAGGATTGGACTAGATGGCCCATGTGGTCTCTTCCAACTCTATTATTATTATTATTATTATTATTATTATTATTATTATTATTATTATTATTGAGACTGGATGGCCATCTGTCTGGGGTGTTTTGATTGTGCTTTTCCAGCATGGCAGAGGATTGGACTAGATGGCCCATGTGGTCTCTTCCAACTCTATTATTGTTGTTGTTGTTGTTGTTGTTGTGACTGGATGGCCATCTGTCTGGGGTGTTTTGATTGTGTTTTTCCTGCATGGCAGAGGATTGAACTCTTCCAACTCTATTATTATTATTATTATTATTATTATTATTATTATTATTATTATTATTATTGAGACTGGATGGCCATCTGTCTGGGGTGTTTTGATTGTGCTTTTCCAGCATGGCAGAGGATTGGACTAGATGGCCCATGTGGTCTCATCCAACTCTATGATTCTGTGATTCTATATCCTTAGCTGTACTTTCCTCCCACTATAGAAAATCTATATACAGGTCAAGCATCTCTTATCTCAAATGCCCGGATCCAGAAGTGTTGCTTTTTTCTGGTTTTAATGGGGTTTTTTTGGAGTTTGGAATATTTACATATATCACAATGAGAGATGTGACCCAAGTCTAAACATGAAATTTATTTATATTTCAAATACACCTTATACACATCGTCTGAAAGTTAATTGCAGACTCAATATTTTATTTATTATTCGCCTCTCCTTTTGGCAAAGAATTCAACTATAAAAGGAAAGTATTTTCGAAGGCTTCCGTGGCCAGAATCCCTGGGTAGTTGTGAGTTTTTCTGCTGACCCCTCCTTCTGTTTACCTGGAAGTTACTCAATTTGGGAGGAGTGTTGCCGTTTTAATTGGCAAAGAATCAACCCATTCACACCTAGCTCCAGCAGACAAGAGTCCTTTGTCCCACCCTGGTCATTCCACAGATATATAAACCCATTTTTCCTACTTCCAACAGACCTCGCTACCTCTGAGGATGTTTGCCATAGATGCAGGCGAAACATCAGGAGAAAAATTGCCTCCAGAACATGGCCATATAGCCCGGAAAAACCTACAACAACCCAATCAGCCCATTGGCTACAATGGGAAACTTTAAAGGCTCAATCCTCAGTCATTTTAAGGCCGATATGCACGAAACCCACCTCGGTTTTAGACCCCATTTACAACTGCAGGACTCCCAAGTTTCAGAACAATTCACCAACTTAATGATTTTTTAGAATTATTTTAAGTTTTAATCATAACCTTTTTTTAAAAAAAATAAGACAAACCGCAAAAGAGAGTTCTGGGAATTGTAGTCGCCAGTTGTGTCCATTCTCAGCCAATTAGAGCACAGACACAAACAGATCTTTGGCTGAGAGACAGAGAGGGAAAAAACTTCAACTCCCATCATGCTCTGAGAGGAACTCAGAGACTTTTTGATGCCTGCCCACGCCATGCAAGTGCTGCTTTAAAGAATCCTAGAATCCAAGAGTTGGAAGAGACCTCCTGGGCCATCATCCAGTCCAACCCTATTCTGCCAAGAAGCAGGAAAATTGCATTCAAAGCACCCCTGACAGATGGCCATCCAGCCTCTGCTTCAAAGCTTCCAAAGAAGGAGCCTCCACCACACTCCCTCCGGGGCAGAGAGTTCCACTGCTGAACGGCTCCCACAGTCAGGAAGTTCTTCCTCATGTTCAGATGGAATCTCCTCTCTTGTAGTTTGAAGCCATTGTTCCCTTGCGTCCTAGTCTCCAAGGAAGCAGAAAACAAGCTTGCTCCCTCCTCCTCCCTGTGGCTTCCTCTCACATATTTATACATGGCTATCATATCTTCTCTCATCCTTCTCTTCTTCAGGCTAAACATGCCCAGCTCCTTAAGCCGTTCCTCATAGGGCTTGTTCTCCAGACCCTTGATCATTTTAGACTTAACTCCATCCTCTCCAGTAGCCGATAAATCCAGCTTTCCTGATCAGTTTTGGCCGGCTTTCCTCCTCCTTCCTCCCCATTCTGTTTTCAGAGATTGCACAGAATGGACCACCGAATATTACAAATCAGTTTTGGGTCAACCTGATCCATACCCAAGCCTAATTGCTTATTGAAATGGAGTAAGATCTCTCCATTGTTGCTCATTGTTTTGTATATTATTTTGCTGTATTATTTTTGGGCTCGGCCTCATGTTAGCTGCCCCGAGTCCCCATTGGGGAGATGGTGGCGGGGTATAAATAAAGATTATTATTATTGTATTGTCGAAGGCTTTACAACAACTCATTATTATTATTATTATTATTATTATTATTATTATTATTATTATTATTATTTGAAACACCACAAGATGAGTCCACAGCAGACACTCTGCTGGCTGTTGTATTGGATCACACGTCGGACCCTTCCCAAGTGTCTAGGACTGTGTGATGTATCGGTGAATAATGCGTGCAGATCCCAGTAAGGTGGCCTTCTGCAGCTGGCAGGTGGTCATTTTGTCATCGCCGATTGTGTTTAAGTGCAGGCCAAGGTCTCGAGGCACTGCACCCAGTGTGCCGATCACCACTGGGACCCCCTTGACTGGCTTGCGCTACAGTCTTTGCAGTTCAATCTTTAAATCCTCATATCGTGTCAGTTTTTCCAGTTCTTTCTCTTCTATCTTTCTGTCACCTGGGATTGCAACATTGACGATCCATACTTTGTTTTTTAACATGATTGTGAGGTCAGGAGTATTATGCTCCAAAACTCTGTCTGTCTGAATCCGGAAGTCCCAGAGGAGTTTGGCGTGTTCATTCTCTGTAACTTTTTTCGGCTTGTGATCCCACCAGTTCTTTGTCTCAGGCAGATGGTGTTTGTGGCACAAGTCCCAGTGAATCACCTGAGCAATTTTATTGATTTATTTTATTTATTTCGTGTACTTCTACCCCGCCCTTCTCAACCCCCGAGGGGGGACTCAGGGCGGCTTACAAAAGGCACAATTCGATGCCTACACAATAATACAGATAAAAATATATAGACAGCAATTAAAACAGTTATAACAGTTAAAAACAATCAATATATATCACAGTCAATAAAACCAATCTCATGCTCAACATTTGCAACTCAGAGTCCATAGCTTTATTCCACATTTTCCATTCCTATCAGTCATCGTTGTCCTTTATTTATCTGCCAGATTGCCCAAACGCCTGGTCCCAAATCCATGTTTTTAATTTCCTTCTAAAGGAAAGGAGGGGTGTCGATGATCTAATTTCCCCAGGGAGTGAATTCCATAGGTGAGGGGCCACCGCCGAGAAGGCCCTGCTCCTCGTCCCCGCCAATCTCACTTGTGATAGAGGCGGGGCCAAGAGCAGGGCCTCCCCAGAAGATCTTAAACTCCGAGGTGGGATGTAGAGGGAGATGTGTTCGGACAGATACACAGGGCCGGAACCGTATAGGGTGTTGTGCCTCTGCTTGGAGTCTGTCTGTGCAATCTTCTTGCAGCAGCTGAGGATGGGATCTATTGTTTCCCAAATGTAGACTCCTTGCAGAGTCTACATTTGGGATTATATTACATTTGGGATTATTATTATTATTATTATTATTATTATTATTATTGCATTGGCTTGTTACAATGGAGGAGAACCTAAAGTCCTGAATTTGACTCTCTTGGGTCTCGGCCTGGCTTTGCTTTGCTTTCTTTGAGGGTGTCATTGTGTGGTTTCTTTCCCAGCTTCTTGTGGATTTTTTGTCCCCATCCAAAGAGGTTGAAATACCTCTCTAGAGTTTACATCATGCTCTGTTTACAATGTGGTTGTTCCGTATTGGAGGAAGTTGCTCTGAAAGCCGATTCATGTAACTCTCCTGACAAATTGTGAATGAAAACCAACGCGGCCTCTTCCCCTTTCAAGGCAGATCAAGCTGCACTGCGCGGAGCCATTTACCCAGTACTGGACCTGCGTGGACTACACGGGTCTGCTGGAGCTGCGCCACTGCCGGAAACAGCAGCAGGCCTTTGACGAGTGTGTGCTGGACAAGCTGGGCTGGGTGAGGCCCGAACTGGGCCAGCTGTCAAAGGTAAACTGGGCACCCCTTGGGTGTTTCTTCTCTCACGAGTCAGTCAAACCTATTGAGCCTCTGGGGCCTGAATTATAGTAATTCCAAAGACAAAGGGGGCAGAGATAAAAGAGAGGCATAATTTAGAGGCATAATTTAGCCCTTGGGCAGGATTCTTTGGCTTTGTAGTGTCAGAAAGGTTGTGTCTTCTTCTGTGAACCTAATAGAGTCCCAAAATCTGCAGTTGGGGGGTTCACTTGAAACCATATCTGGTACAATGAATTTCTCCTGAGATGGGAGAACTTATAAACGAGGATTCACTGATGGGTGTATGAACCGTAATTAAATGGTTGTTGTTGTATTACAATACAACTTAAAATATACAAATAATAAAACAGTATTAAACCTCAATATTAAAAACAATTCAGGTCAGGTCAGATATCACGAATGCGCTTCAGCTAACGTTGATCCAGGTCTGATTCAGCATCACTCCTTCTTCTCCTGCAACCAGTAGTAGATACGGTGCCATGACGCTGAGCCTCAACAAAAACCATCAAAGCATATGAAGACTAAATGTCTATTTTCTTGTGTGGGGGGGGGGGGGGCATATCTGTAGATATAAGTGATGCCTACACCTGTATTGGTATTTCTGCATGTCTTGCCTGTGTGCACGTTGGATGTTAACGCATGCTTTCTCCTATATGTACATAATTTTGGGTGCAATTTAGCATGGCATAATTGCGTGCCACCACTGTTACGTACCTCGCTGTTGGACAGCTAACCGTACAGTGGGCTCCATGGCATTGTGCTCACCTGTTTTTCAGTGGCGTATGATCTCCTTGCCTGCCACCAAAGTAAATAGAGCAAAAGAAGGCTTTGCATCTGCTTACAAAGCATTGGCATTGCTGGAGACTAGGACTGCTCTCCTTTAGAAAAGGGTAACTTTTAGAAAAGGGTAACTTTTGCAGCCTCAGGCCCCTTCCAGCCTGAGGGTGTTAAGAATACTGGGAGTTGAAGTCCAAAACACGTGGAGGGAAGGCCAAAGTTGGCCCATGCCTTTGTCCTCTTGGGACTGGACACTTCAGTAAGTCAAGGGATCATCTGCATACCCACGTTGTGGGAGTTGGAGTCCAAAACACATGGAAGGAGGGCCCAAGTTGACCCATGCCTTTGTCCTCTTGGAAGTGGACACTTCAGTCAGTCAAGGGATCATCTGCATACCTACATTGTGGGTGCTGAAGTCCAAAACACCCGGAGGGAGGGCCCAAGTTGGCCCATGCCTTTGTCCTCTTGGGACTGGACACTTCAGTCAGTCAAAGGGATCATCTTCATACCCACGTTATGGGAGTTAGAGTCCAAAAACCTGGAGGGAGGGCCCAAGTTGGCCCATGCCTTGGTCCTCTTGGAACTGGACACTCCAGTCCATCAAGGGGTCATCTGCATACCCACGTTGTGGGAGTTGGAGTCCAAAACACCAGGAGGGAGGGACCAAGTTGGCCCATGCCTTGGTCCTCTTGGAAGTGGACACTTCAGTCAGTCAAGGGATCTTCTGCATACCCACGTTGTGGGAGCTGAAGTCCAAAACACCAGGAGGGAGGGACCAAGTTGGCCCATGCCTTTGTCCTCTTGGAAGTGGACATTTCAGTCCATCAAGGGGTCATCTGCATACCCACGTTGTGGGAGTTGAAGTCCAAAACACCTGGAGGGAGGGCCAGAGTTGGCCCATGCCTTTGTCCTCTTGGAAATGGACAGTCAGTCAAGGGATCATCTGCATACCTATGTTGTGGGAGCTGTTGGGAGGGCCCAAGTTTGCCCATGCCTTGGCCATATAAACAGCTTTGGGACCTTACGAAGCCATGCGATTCCTATCCCAGTCCCAAGGCAGTTGCCTGATGGTTGACCCCATGTTTTGCAAACCTTCTGATGGAGTTCAGGATTGGACATCTTCAGCTAATCTAACTTTGCATTTACGCTCCCCTCGCAGTTGCATGCGATTTCTTGCTTGAACCCCTTGAGATTGGCTTTGCATGGTTTGCCCGTCCTTTCTCTCTTCTTCCCCGTTTTGCTCCTCCTGTGACCCACCAGAGATGTGAGTGTGGCTCTTTCCCTTCCAGGTCACCAAAGTGAAGACCGATCGGCCGATCCCTGAGAATCCCTATCATTCTCGGGAAAGACCGCCTCCAAACCCGCCTATTGAAGGCGAACTGAAGCCCGCTAAATACGGGAGTCGGATGTTTTTCTGGAACTGGTGAAGGGGAGCGTTGGTCAAGGGACCTGGGCTGTCTCCAAACAGGAAATTATACCTTGTGGGATGTTAATTGCTCTTTCCAAGTATGTATCAGACACTTCTAGTCGGTGGTGATTAAATATATATTCTTCAAACAATATGGGTTGTTCTATAACGTATTTATTTATTTTCTAAAATGTGAAAATCTGTGTTTATGGGGTGAAACTATGGACTGAAATTCCAGAGTAACCTTCCTTCCTTATGGCTGGAATTGCTGGGTTGTTGTAGGTTTTTTGGGCTATATGGCCATGTTCTAGAAGCATTCTCTCCTGACCTTTCGCCTGCATCTATGGCAGCCATCCTCAGAGATTGTGAGACCTCACAACCTCTGAGGATGCCTGCCGTAGATGCAGGCGAAACTTCAGGAGAGAATGCTTCTAGAACATGGCCACATAGCCCAAAAAACTTAGAACAACCCAGACAAAAGAAATTTCTCTGTTTTGAGGATGCATTTGGTTCAAACTCATGACAAATAATTCTATGGTTTGTCGAAGGCTTTCATGGCCAGAATCACTGGGTTGCTGTGGCTTTTCCGTGTTTCAGAAGCATTCTCCCCTGACATTTTGCCTACATTTTGGGCAGGCATCCTCAAAGGTTGTGAGATTTGTTGGAATCGAGGAAAATGGGGTTTATATATCCGTGGCATGGTGTTCAAGGTGGGAGAAAGAACTCTTGTCTGTTGGAAGCAAGTGTGAATGTTGCAGTTGCCCAGCTTGATTGAATGGCCTTGCAGCTTCAAAGCCTGCAAGATTCCATAGTGGTTTAAAGAGCAGTGCAAATAACTTTTTCCCCTTTAAGACCTCCTCCGAGTCTCTCGCCGTTGAACTAGATCCCTCTGCGTTGATCCAGCTTGGGGTCTGGGTGTCTTTCTCCATCTTCCTTCTAACAGCCTCTGTTGAAGTGCACACTCAGGTCCAAGGCAAAGGCTTGCGGAGTGAGTGTGTCAGGTCCAAGTGAGTGTGCTTTCTGCAGTGATTGTGGTTGGCAGCGGCCGCAGACTGGAGCTCCGTAACCTCCTGCCTTGTGAAACTCAAGAAAGCCGTACAGCTGTAAACGTTCCCAGCATTTGACCTGAAGAGGAGAGAGGTTTGGTCCTCGTTGGAGCCGCGTCTGTTTGGCATTACCCTTAATGCTTTTGTCAATCATCAGCCGCTCTTCCAGACCACCGCCCCCCACAACTCTAATGGTTCCTGGGAATCCGAAGAGGGATCGAGCGCTGTCGAGAATTCAAAGCTGTCGTGGAGGAATTTACTGAGACGGTTCCTTGGCAGATGGAGAGCAGGCTCGGCTGAAGCCGACGTCGTGGGGGTCTCTCTGCCCTCCTTCCTTGTTACCTGCAATGTGGGAAAACATGGCTCGTGCTGGAGTGTAGGCTGTAACCTTTGCCAGAGCCCATTACGGTCTGCCTGAAGCTAATGGGTTCAGTCGGGAGAGCTTTGGGTTAGCCTTGCGCTACTGCGCTCCTGCCTACGGAGAAGCCTGGCACCGCCCTTTTAGTTTTTTATTTATTTTATTTATTTATAACTAGCCGTCCCCTGCTACGCATTGTTGTGGCCCAGTCTGTGTATATGTGTTTTGTGTGTGTATATATTTGTGTATATGTGTGTATGAGTGTTTGCATATATATGTGTGTGTGTGAACTTTTTGCACATGCATTGTAATGCTTTTTTTTTTGGCCTTGTAAGTCCCTTCCTTTGTGTTTTTCGAGGTTTTTGTGAGTGATGGTCACTTGTTGGCCTGAGAGGAGTCTTGTGTCCAAATCTGGTGTCAATTCGTCCAGTAGTTTTTGAGCTCTGTTAATCCCACAAATGAACATTATTTATATCAGTGTTTCTCAACCTGGGGGTCGGGACCCCTGGGGGGGTCACAAGGGAGTGTCAGAAGGGTCGCCAAAGGCCATCAGAAAACACAGTATCTTCTGTTGGTCATGGGGGTTCTGTGTGGGAAGTTTGGCCCAATTCTGTCATTGGTGGGGTTCAGAATGCTCTTTAGTTGTAGGTGAACTATGAATCCCAGCAACTACAACTCCCAAATGTCAAGGTCTGTTTCCCCCAAACTCTACATTTGGGCATATTGAGTATCCATGGCAAGTTTGGTCCAGATCCGTCATTGTTTGAGTCCACAGTGATCTCTGGATGTAGGTGAACTACAACTCCAAAACCAAAGGACACTGCCCACCAAACCCTTCCAGTATTTTCTCTTGGTCATGGGAGAACTCTGTGCCATGTTTGGTTCAATTCCATCATTGGTGGAGTTCAGAATGCTCTTTGATTGTAGGTGAACTATAAATCCCAGCAACTACAACTCCCAAATGACAAAATCATTTTTTTTTGAGTGAAGGACATTCATTGGGTTGTTCGGTGTCTTGTGTCCAAATTTGGTGTCAATTCATCCAGTGGTTTTTGAGTTCTGTTAATCCCACAAACGAACATTACATTTTTATTTATATAAACTAGCTGGACCTGCCACGCGTTGCTGTGGCCAACCTTCCCTCCCTCTTTCTCTCCTTCTTTCCTTCATTTCCTTTTTTCTTTCCTTCTCTCCCTCCTTCTTTCTCTACCCCTTTCTTTCCATCCCCTTTTCTTTTCCTCTTTCTCTTTCTTCCTTTTCTGCCTTTTTCCTTCCTTCCTTCGCTCCCTCTTTCATGTGCTTTCGCCCAGTACTTCCATGCTTCCTTCTCTCTTTTCTTCCTTCTTTCTTCCTTCCCTCCCTCTTTCCCTCCTTCCCTTTCCTTCTTTCCTTCTCTCCTTCCTTCCTTCCTTCTCTACCTCTTTCCTTCCTCCCTTTTTCTTTTCCTTCCCTTTCTCTCCCTTCCTCCCTTCTCTCTTTCTTTCTTTCTTTCTTTCTTTCTTTCTTTCTTTCTTTCTTTCCCCCCTTCCTTCCCTGCCTCGTCCTTCCCTTTTTTCTGTAGTGGTTTCAGGAAGCACCTTCTATCTATGACAGGAGTGATGTGGTTTCGCAGTTTGGTGAATTGGATGGTGGGACCAACGGGGAGGGAAAAGGAGAATAAAGCAATTCCTCTGAACGTGCACAGACTATGTTATCATTAGCATATTGCAGTTCTACAACAGATGTTGCAGGTCTTCTTCTGAATGTGCACTGACTACGTTATCATCAGCATATTGGAGTTCTATAACTCCAGTATGCCATAGGGCTCCACAGCAACCTACGGACACACCGTGAAGACATTGCACTTGGAGGACCATCATACTCGGAGAACGATGGATCGCATCTGTGAAAAGGGAAATGGTTTCAGGAAGCACGTTCTATCTATGGCAGGAATTATGTGGTTTCGGAGTTTGGTGAATTGGATGATGGGAGGGAAAAGGGGAGGAAAACAATTCCTCTGAATGTGCACAGACTATGTTATCATTAGCATATTGGAGTTCTACAACAGATGTTGCAGGTCTTCTTCTGAATGTGCACAGACTATGATATCATCAGCATATTGGAGTTCTATAACTCCAATATGCCGTAGGGCTCCACAGCAACCTAAGAACACACCGCCAAGACATTGCACTTGGAGGACCATCATACTCGGAAAAAGATGAATGGCATATGTGAAAAGGGAAGTGGTTTCAGGAAGCACGTTCTATCTATGGCAGGAGTGATGTGGTTTCGCAGTTTGGTGAATTGGACTCCAGTATGCCATAGGGCTCCACAGCAACCTACGGACACACCGCCGAGACATTGCACTTGAAGAACCATCATACTTGGAGAACGATTGATCGCATATGTGAAAAGGGAAGTGGTTTCAGGAAGCACGTTCTATCTATGGCAGGAGTGATGCGGTTTCACAGTGGTGAATTGGACGATGGGACCAACGGGGAGGGAAAAGGGGAGGGAAAAGGGGAGGAAAGCAATTCCTCTGAATGTGCACAGACTACGTTATCATTAGCATATTGGAGTTCTACAACAGATGTTGCAGATCTTCTTCTGAATGTGCACAGACTATGTTATCATCAGCATATTGGAGTTCTATAACTCCAGTATGCCATAGGGTTCCACAGTAACCTATGTGGGAGGGAAAAGGGGAGGAAAGCAGGCGACAGGCGCACAGGATGGTTTCCAGCCCCTTCCTTCGTTTATTTACTTTCCCAAAATCTGTTTCCCAGAACCTCGCAACAACGAAGCAGCCACCCACATCTCTCTCTTTCCGTCTCGGAACATTGATCGGAATTAACCAATTAAGCCAAACCTCTGCTGTGGTTTAGTTTTGGTCCCTCTCCCTCTGCAACAGCCCTGTGCCAATGTGCGGAAAGCGCAAGGTCTGCGTCCCTTGGAGAAAACACAGGGCTTACTATGTCCTTGTATGTTTCCGAATGGAGCTTTCCCAGCACTGAAGACCCCCTTGCCCTCTGTTGCAATGAAATCTCCCTCCAGCCACCAAGGCATCCTCACCACTGAGCTCCAGTTGGCTTTTGTGGTTGTTTTGTTGTTTACCGAGTGCATCATGTGGCATTGGGAGGCTGTGCGATGGTCATTGGGGTGTGGAGGGAATGAGTGTGTTGGCTTTGATGCTGATGTTTAGATCAGACATTGGTCAACTTGGGCCCTCCCTCCGGGTGTTTTGGACTTCAACTCCCACAATTCCTAACAGCTGGTAGGCTGTTAGGAATTGTGGGAGTTGAAGTCCAAAACACCCGGAGGGAGGGCCCAAGTTCACCCATGCGCAGATTGAAAGAAGCCCTAGTCCCATGCTCCAATATGCTGATGATAATGTAGTCTGTGCACATTCAGACCTACAACATCTGTTATAGAACTCCAATATGCTAATGATAATGTAGTTTGTGCACATTCAGAAGAAGACCTACACATCTGTTATAGAACTCCAATATGCTGAAAATAATGTAGTCTGGGTTCATTCAGGAGCAGACCTACAATGTCTGTTATAAAACTCCAATATTTTAATGATAACATAGTCTGGGCTCATTCAGAAGAAGACCTACAACGTCTGTTATAGAACTCCAATATGCTAATGATAATGTAGTCTAGGTTCATTCAGGAGCAGACCTACAATGCCTGTTATAAAACTACAATATGCTAATCATAATGTAGTCTGGGCTCATTTAGAAGATCTACAACATCTGTTATAGAA